TAAAGCATTGAGCTAAAATAAGCAGCAATAAATCGTTATTTCTTTGTATTTAATAGGTTCGTTTGAAGTCGACTCGACTTGAAAAGAGGAAAAATGGTTGAAGAGAAATGGATTTTTGTTTCTTTGCAACTTTTCTGTCATCATTTCTGGTTACAAAAGTTTGAATGAAAACAATGTTTCCAGACAAATCGTTTTGCACTGTTTATATTTTCCTTGACAATCATGATGATGCTTATTTTTACAGCTAATATTCACTTTGGGATAAAAAATGAGCCTTTATTATTATCATCATTATTATTTAATCTAATAGAACTCAATATTCACTGTTCATTAGTTCCTTGGGAATACAATTCATAGCCATCAATTGTTCAACCTTTTTCTTGCTCACTTAATCTGCTTTCAGTGTTTACCATTTTCACAAGCTCAATCAACAGTCATTCAAATGATGATTATTCAGTTGTTAATGCACTGGTCAGTTGCAGGTTAATCATTGAGACATTGAATCGAGTTGAATGATAAAATTGAATCCATCGTCAAAACCAAAGAGTCATTCAAACGCAAGCAATAAACACAACGAAACATTCATTCGTGCTTTCAATTAAACTCGATTTGGAACAAAGTTGAATCTCATTTTTAGATCGTTGAACTTCTCAATATTTTCCTAGCAATTGATAGTGAATTTAAAAGATAATTAATCAACGTAAATGCTTATTATTTTGTGACAATGAAAAGTAGTTGATTCTCGTCCTGCAATGTTGGAACCAGAGGAAAACAATAGAGGCTTACAAGAGATAAGATTGTTTGCTACCATGAAACATGAGATGAAATGAGTGCTCACTTGATCAGGCTCATCATTAAACACATGAGAATGTTTGTATCGACAAAAAGTACACAATAAAGATGATCTAAACAAGAGTACAAAATTGAACAGCAAAAGAGGATGAACAAGATGAAAGGCATGATGAAGAGAAAGAAACGTTATTCTTGCAAGATTAAGGTCTTTATAGATGGTGGTTGAATAAAAGAATAATAAACCAATGATTGATTGATTTATTGTTGATTAAATGGGAAACATTGTTTGAAGAATGGTAAGGGAAGAGGAAAAAAGAATGTGGAAACACACAGAAAAAAAAACAAGTAAAAAATATTTTCCACAAAAATAAGATTCTTGGCAAAATACAATATTCAATTGTAATGGGATGAATAAATAATGTTCAAGTGAATAATTCAATGTTCAAATGAAAAGCTTTTTTGTTGCTTTTTCAATAAAATGGTCTACAATGGCATGTAATTAGTAAAAGCTAGTAAAAATAACTCAAATGAAATATTTACTCCAAATAATGTTTCATGATAATAACTTATTTCACCAAATTATCAAGATAATATTAACAGGTTTGGTTAACTTTTTCCCTTCAACCGCTAAATTGTGCTTTTCTTCATTTCAAGATCATTCATTCAATGATCCATCAAATGATCTGATTGCTTGAACTGTACACATGAAAATTCGGTTCTAACTTGCTGCTTGACTCTGAATCAATCTTCGATATTGTCTTCTGGATTGGTTTTCATTATGCAAAAAATGCCAAACTCTTTGATCAGATGTTTGACTTTCAGATTATGACTCGAGATTTGCAGCATGAAGCTGGAATGATCTGCATTAGTGAAATCTTGCATTAATCTGATTCTTTTTGACAATTCTCTTCAACTAAAGACTGAAGTTATATCTTTCAATCTGTAGCTTGCTTGTCTTTAGATGAAATTAAATTTGAAAAGTTTTTAAAGTTACTAAATCCATTTCATTCCTTCTCTGGTTCATTGATTTCTTAAAAAGATACATTAAACAGAGAAATAAAAGTATTGGTTTAATGCCGATTTTTCACTTTTCCCTTCAATTATCCAATTTGCCCACTTCATGTGTTTTTGTTTCTGTTAACCTTAAGTGCTTCTTTTATGTCAAATAAAACTCTCGTAATTTTAAATCGATTCATAAGGTTTACCGTTCACAGTTTATCCATAATTAAAACATATATTTGATCTGGAATTGGTCATTGAACATTGCAAAGTGAAAAGTTTTCAGACTGACAAAAGTAACACAAGTCATCTCACATAGATTGTCTATCAATTATTTTTTGCTATTCGAGCATTAGTTAGAATAGCTTTTGAGTCTTCATTTTAATCTCTTCATGAGTTTAAGCATCAAAGTTTACTCAAAAGCGAAAGGTAGAATCAATTGGAATCAAATGCAATAAGTTGACTTGAAGGAACAAATTTGGAAATAATTGCGCGATTGTTCCAAGTATCAACAGCATTTTTCGCTCTAAATCTCAGATTCAGTTATCATTTTGCAATAATGAAATTTTCTGTTTGTTACTGTTTCTCTAATACTGTTTCACAGATAATCGCATATCCCAAGAACATGATTAATTCACCGATTTTGGTTTCTATCAAAATCTAGTAAAACAAAATGCTACTCCAAGATATTATCATTTCTTCGACTTTTCCCAAATCGAAGATCACATCGAAGATTATCTGAATAAATTGGAATGATTTTCCTCTTTTCCTCTGGATTTAACTCAACTTTTCTTTCGTCTCTTCTTTTTCAATGTAAAAAAAGACTGAAAAGTTGAAGTAAAATGAGAAAAGTTTGACTGAAGAAAGTGTTTGATCTTGGCTTATTAATACTTGTTTGAGACTCTCAACGATTGAAAGATTGATCATTAAAAGTCGATCAATGGATGTTGACCATTTATTTTTATCTTTTCCTCTCAAGTAACTTTCAAAGTGACGATTGTTCAAGTTTGTTACAATGTTTCGAGTTGAAGAAAAACTGTTTCAAATTGTATTCCCATTGAACCTCCAGATAATAACCAGAATAGTGAAACATTTTTCCCTTTTCAATGAATGACGAAAAATGTGAATGTTAAAAAGGGTTAAACGTAATGAAATTAAATTTAACCTTTCAATTGTAAGCTTTGCTTAAAAAGACTAACATTGAGTTTGAAACTTTTCCCAGTCAAACTGATTACAATCAGCTTCTATTAATTATGATATAATGAACAAACTAACGTTGAATTTGCATTCAACTCTTTACGCTGTTTCGTCTTGAAGCTTATTGTTTTGAAACAGTGTTGATTAACATTAATTAATCTTAATTTATTCAACAATCTAATCTTACCATGAAAAGGGAATCAAAATGTTATGATAATTTAATAAACAGCATTTTCCAGTATAAATTAATATTCTTTGACCAAAGTAAATGGAATTAAATTGTGAAAGAAAATTGAAATTTCGTTTCATGACAATTCCAAACTTGTTTTACTTTCAGAAATTCATTCAAACTGTCAACTAAAAAATGAAATGAATGGTAAAATAATTTTTATTAAACTCATTTTTCATCAAATGTACATTGACTTATGACAAGGTTAAACTCAGATATTTTTACATCAGAAAGTGCCATGTGTTTCTAACCCGAAGGTTCACTCAGAATATACAAAAAAGCATTTCTGTTGCTGTCTTTAAAAGTCGATTGAACTTTCGTCAGAACATCTGAGATAAAATGCTCATCATGCAACTTCATTTCGTCTGAAACGCATTTCCTGCCTTAGTCCATGTTGAAGTTGGTTCATCGTTTGACTAGAAAGTGAAATGAGAAAATTGTTTAAAATCTTTATTTATGAAGAGAAGCAAAAAAGATCGAGATCATTGAAAACTTGCAGATTGATGTAGATTTGATGGTAAACTTTTGATACAAAGTTTCCATTGAAGTTTTTTTCTGCTTCCATGAGATTCTTTATCAATTCATTATTAAAGACTTCTAACAGATTTGCAATTGATTATTTGCTGGATCCATGGAAGGAAACAAGAGAGGTAAAGGGTTACATGCATAAAGAGTTGAGAAGTTGTTTTTAAAGGTTGTTACGAGAATTGATAATGAGAAAATCATCAATGTTTATAAGAATTCATGATAAGAGAAGAAAAGGGGAAAAAAGTAGAGAGACCAGAATCTGTTTCATTTCCTCAATTCTCAGAAGGATTCAAGTGAAAGTAAAGGATTGAGATGTTCTGTTGGTTATCAAGATGTTAACCTAATAAGCTTATTGATTCCAATGTTGAAACCAAAACTATTGCCAAAAATATTTCCTTATTACATTATCACCGAATTGGAGTGAAAATTATCTCTATAAAAGTTAATTGTTGTCTCATTGTTAAATCCTGTTCATTTGTTGGTTTACCAAGTGTTCACCAAAAACAATCAACCGACGACATAAAAGAGTCAAATGTGTTTAAATTGTCTGTTGATAAACAAATTGTTTTAATTAAACTGGCAGCAATAAAAAGCATTCCCATAAATTGTCACCAATAAAACGAAAGACAATTTGAAAAGAATCATTATTTAGAGTTGATTAAATTTCTTCATTTTCATGGAACAAAATTTGGCCCAAAAATTTTGCAAACTTTCATTTGAAAATATTCAAGATTCATGGTGAAGCTGAATGTGATTGATATTGACTCTCCAATGTTGATGAGAAGTGGGAAAAGATAACATTGAAAGTCTCAATACGAACATGTTTCAGGTCATTTCAACTGCTATAAATGTGTGTTGCAGATGAAAGGGAATGTTGAGAGTCAATTTTATTGCAATCAATTGATTTTGTGGTTCCAATTGCAACTTGGTAATTAACTTTGACAACCTGTTAACGGTAATAAAAACTGTCTCAATCAAGTTGAACGATGGGTTAATAAAAAGAGTTTAAGCTTTGAATAAAAGTTGATGAGACAATGTTGTTTCATTGAGCTTCCAAGTTGATCTAACATTTGAGGAAATGTTGTCTTTTGACTCGAGTTTTGTGTTTATAATTAAATGGAAATTTTGAGAAATTTTTCTTTTCTTTTTTTTCAAAGAAAAAAATGAAATTGAATTTGTTGAATCAAACATTTTACTCGCCAAATTTACTCTATTTACTCAATTAAATTTAACCCTTTTTTGTTTACTCTCACAGATTGAACCTTATTTTGCTGTTGGTTTCAAAATTTCAATCTTTTTCTTGTTCCATCAAATTGGAAAAGGAAAAGGCGTAAAATAATTGGTGAACAAAGTGGGTGAAGTTACGTTGATATATTGCTCTCAGGAAAGAGTGAAAATTGTGAGTGAAAGGGTGAGAGGAAGAGTGAAGGAGGAGGAGGAGGAGGAAGGAAGAAAGTGAAAGTGGAATTGGAAAGGGAAGAAAAGCCGAAAAAGAAAAGGAAAAAGAAGACGAAAACGAAACACAAAACGATTCCTTTTTTTCATGGGCAATGATTCTTCGATTTCTCTCCTTGATATTTTGCTATGATATATCATACAAGATTGGTAAGTATCAGTTAACAGCCATTTTTTCACATCTTTCCACTTTTCCTTTCTTTTCCATTCCTTGATCAGCTTGTTCATCTCACCCTCTTTTGCACTCAAAAAACTCTGACAATCAATTTCTTTTACTCCCAATTTTCACTCCCTGTGATGACTTTTTTTCTTCTCATCTTCAAAATCTTCTTCTCAGTTTTTTGCACTCTTTCTCTCTTTCTTCTTCAATACAATTCCAAGATTCATCTTTTCACCATTCTTGCTATTCCACTTTCACTAGCATCTCAACAATGTCTTTTGTTAGCTCTTTTTTTTGCGTTCTTCAACCCTCAAGATACCACAATATTATCACTATTTTTATAGTCATATTGAGATGCAGTGAAAGATTGTATTCAAGTTGATATACAGATGATAATGAGTTTCAAGCAAATTGGTTGCAATATTTCACAGCTCAACAAATGGAAATCATTCACCATTCAATTATCATCAATCCAATTCAACTTTATTCTGTACATATTTATTCAACTTATCAGGTTGAGTTGTGAAGACACAAGAAACTGCAAATTTCTATTTTTTCCAGATTCTTTTTCAATTTACAATCTAGACACTTTGACATTCACTCTTTTCTTCAATCAGAACTTTTTTAAATTATTCATGTTAAGATCATTCACCAAACTGACTCAAGTTCACTCGATTGCTTTTTGATGATTTGAACTCAAAACATAATACAAAATAACGCCGATAGTCCATCCTTATACATTAAACGAAATTGATTGTTTTGCTACTTTTGAAACTTATGCCCTTAAATGAGTGCTGAGTGCTTATATCTTCAACTCTTGAGTTTTCTCAAAATTTGGAGCTCAATGCTTCTGAGGCAAGCATGATCAAGTTATACCGCCATAAAGTTTCAAATATTATTTAGTATAACTAATTAAATGTTCATTTTTTCACTTTTACTTTCATCTTACCAATTATCTGGACTGCTTTACTGGACTTTATTCATCCTGATATGTGACTGTTTCTGGGTTTAGTTTTATCTCAATATGTTGCCACTTTAGGTGGAATCGTTGCCTTCTCATGTAACGTCTCCGGTTGGGGTGACGATACTGTTAGCTTAATGTTATTTTACAAGGATGGACTTAAAGTGCCTTTTTACAGTCTTGATGCTCGTGAAGTGCCCTTTCTACAAGCCAAAAGGTTCGGTAATGATACCCGGATGTACCTCAATGAGACAACCTCACCGCCTTCCCTTATCATTGAATCTGTAAAGATGGAAGATGAAGGAGAATATCGGTGCAGAGTTGATTTTAGAGATGATAAAACTCGAAATTCACTATTTTCACTTAAAGTTGTTCGTAAGTACATTAAAAAATTTTCTTTTCTCTCCTCTTTTCACACCTAAACAATCAATAATCAAACATTTGAATGTTGGACCAGTTAAAAAAGTCGAATAAAAGTTGAACTTTTCACTTGAAATGAAATTGTAATTCAACAGTTTAACCTTGCATGTTTAAGTGAATCCAGTAAAAAAAGCTGATCGTTTGTCCTACTGGTTCATGCATTTGCTACGATCAATGAAAGTAAAGATCAAATTGATATTAATGGTTTTCTCGAGTAAAATTTAAACTTTTCACCACTTCAACTGTATACATTTCAGAATACAATGTTAATATTGATATTGGAATGATGAGAAAAAACCGAAATTGATTCAAGTAAAAGTTTATTTATTGTTGACACAGTCAAATAGTCAATGTAAATATCAGTACAGTATAAAAATAAGCTAAAATGCTAGGGTTAAATATAAAAGCAGAAAATTCAATTCTTGAACAGATGAGAAGAGAAAACAAAAATTTAAAATAAAATTGAAATTGAACCAAACACAATTCAAGTTGCATCCTTGACACTTTACATCCAACAGTTTACCTTCCCAGGCAACAAAGAAGTATAAAGTTGATCAAGCTTGTTGTTACAAAATAAACAAACAGTAAAGATATTTGGTCACTTTGAACATCGTGAGTATAAACGATTAAATTAAATTAAAGATTTAACTCCATTGTAGTCGAGTGAACAGCATAAAGTTGACTTGCAAGAGCTTGAGGTCTGATCAAAGCATCACAACATGCTTGGCTGTTTCATCAAAGCGACCGAAACAAGTGACTTGAAGATTATCATTGAACTGCAATGTTTAAGGAACAGTTAAAAACTATTATTTACAAGTTTTTCCTTGAATTCTGAAGAATTTTCGTTAAGAATTTTCATTCTTGAGTTTTTTAGACAAATTGAGAATCGCCGCTTTGCATGAATAACTCATAGAATCTATCGTTTTTGAATTGGACTCACGAATTGTCAGTATGGACTTTTTGCTGGCAATTACGATTAAATGATGATTGCTTTTCCAACTAAAGTTGTCAGCATTTGATCTTAATCTTTTTTTGGACTTGTTACTTTCTTGAAGTCTGAAGCATCGATCTGAGATTATAAGACAAATAATCTGAATAATCTCGAGGCTCGAAATTTCCTTATTTTCCAATCAAAAAGGTTTTTGAAGATGAGACTTGAATGGCATTGGAATCAACTTTTGTTAAAGAAAGGAAAAGATGATGATTGGATTAGACTTTGAAAACTGTAAGTTAAAAGCAAAGGTGCAACTCAATCCCTGACAAGGCTACATGTTAGGCTTGTTTAATCCTGTTTAAGGCAATGTTGACTGCTGAGCGTCTAGTGGATCTACTTGAAAAGTTGCGGTTGAAAATTAAATCTCACTAGATATTCATATCAGAATTTTGTTGAAGACAAAAAATTGATTAAAATGTGAAACTGTCTTGATGGTAACTCTAATACACCTGTAATCTCCTTGAGCCAGACCTGATTGTTTAGGCAACAACCGATGATATCTTTTCTTCTTTTCACCATTTCCATTGTCTATCCAAAGTGTTGTAACTTGTTATTACACAATGAATAGTAAATATTTATCGATAATTAAAGGTTACACATTTTCATGGTAAATGTCAATTAAAACTAATCAACCCTTTCAAAGGAAACCTGTCTGGAAGCAGACTAAAATGAGAAACTCAGTTCTCCAAGTGAAAGATGAGCAGATGCTCAATCCATTATTAAAGTCTTATGGAATCAAATTTACTCCCAGTCTGCCTTGTTTCGATTCAACTTTTAATGAATTCAATTGTTGAAATATAATTAATAGAGAAAACTTATTTTTAATTAATAGTAAAAGCAAACAATTCTTGTCGTAATGAAACAAGCGAAATATAAGAACAAAAAAACGTATAAAATTTCATTTTCTGATTACAAATATTCAACTCATTTAATCGCAACTTTTTTCAATTTTCATCATTCAATGAACAAGTAAAATGTAACTTTTCAAGAAACTTTCAAATCCAAATTCAAGCCTGAATCTCTTTTCAGAAGAGTCTTGAAGAGCGATTGAAACATGGCTCATTAGATATCTTATTAATTGTCATTTGATTAATGATGGTGTTAATCGAACTTTAATTGTTCAAATGGGAATACATTATTGATTGTTTTTTACGCATTTTATCCACTCTTTACTCAACTGTTTCATTTTTGCGATAATTGAATTTGTTAATGATTCTGTTTCTAAACATTTAATTGTTTCATTGATGCAGATAAACCTAAAGTTTCAGTAAACCTTGGTGCCAATTTGAATGCGCAAAATATCAGGGAAGGAATCGATGTAATCCTGGAATGTAATGTAACTGCTAGTCCGTCAGTTTTTGAGATAACTTGGACTTTTAATGATAAGTCCGTCATTAGTAATCTTTCTGATGGGCTCATCGTGTCGGGCAACTTTCTTGTCCTGCAAAAGGTTAAGAGGTCACATCGTGGTAACTATCAGTGCATTGCTGTCAATTCAGTTGGAGAAGGTCGAAGTAATCATTTTTTCCTTCGAGTTCAATGTAAGTAAATGTTGGAAATGCCAAAATCTTTTTTTTCCTCTTCTCCCAATTTTCAGTTGAACATGATTATTTAAGACGATTAACTTTTATCTTTTTTTTTAACAATTTATGTGGCTCAATTAGCTGACAATATATTGCAGCTTAATCTAATAATAAGCTATTATTTATAATCATTTGGATTGCCTTTTACGCTGTTAAACTTGATGATAAACTGTTTCCTTTTTTTCACTTGAAAACTTGCCTGTCTTTGGCTTGTTTGCCTTGACTCTGTTGATTCTTGTTGATCTAATTGTTAATCAATTGACGTTTATCAAGATTTTTTTATCCTTTTACATTTTTGACTCATGATGGAACGGAAATTTGATAATGAATTTTCATTTTCATCTTTCAACAATTGCCATTGAGAGAAACTTATTTTCTTTTACTTTTATCTTGCAGCTTTTTTTCCTTGCTTTATCTTAATTCTCTTCTTGTTCTGAACAATTCAGATGGATTCATTGTTGTCATGATCAGTTGTGGTCATAATGACAACTATGAATCAAAATTGAGACCGGAAATTTGAAATGATTAGTTTTGTGAAGAAGCCAAAAAATTGAGGTTTCTGTTTTTTCTTGACTCTTCTTAACTTTGCTGGACATTAAATTGAATGATCAATGAAAAATGATCAGGAAATGATTGAGTCGGAAATTTTGGTTGAAAAATGAATAATGCGAAAAGTAAGTTGTTGAAATGAGCTGGATCTGTGATCAGAGCAATGGAGAAAATTATTAAAACATGAATCCAATCTATACATGCAATAGTAGTTATAAAAAGTCCTCTTCTGGACCAACTTTAGGTGCCTCTTCTGGACCAACTAAAAGTCCTCTTCTGGACCGAATTTAGATAAATTTTTAAGGGGTAAAGAAGCGTGGGAAAAATTTTTTCGCGAGAAACAAAAAGCGTGGGAGAACTTGAGTTGAGCAAATGAAACCTTTATTTTACACGATAAAATTTTTAAAAATGGTTACAATTAATGTATCAATGTTATCTTATCAAATTTTGGATACAATTCTTAACAAATTAAACTCCTCTACATCTTTCTTCCACTATATCAGATGGGACTTGTGTCAACCTTTTTAACTCTTTGAGAGCGTAATCGGCAAAAGTAAAATCTTTTGGGTTTTTATTTCTAACATTTCTTTTAGGACCATATTTTCGGCTGCCAGTTTTTCTTTTTCTTTCGCCTCTTTATTTAAGGCTCGATCGAGCTCTTTCAAGTCTTTTTATACTTTTTTACTTCTTGATGACGGTCTGATCAACTCCTTCTTAACCTATTATAAAGCATAGCTTTCACAACAGTTTAACATGGTCTTTTCACTTACATCTTACGATGAATAAGTATGCATAAGGCTAAAGAAATCCTTCACTTTAACCACTAAAGGGACC